ATCTGCAGTCCTTCAATCCAATGATGATATCTCAAGGCCGTAGCTCTTTGTTGAGGCGAGAGGGCAAGGCGAGAAACAAAAAAACGGTCATGATGACAAGTTTTGTTGGACCTTGGCCACAGTTTTCTCAAAAAACAGTTTCGCTAGAGAAAGACAATGGGTACGAGGACGTTTAAGCAAAGACGAAATGACATCAACACAAGGAAGATCAGACACACAGTTACTTTGGATTATGTGATGGTGAACCGATACATCAGAGGACAATTATACTCTTCCATCAAGCACAACCCATCGTAATGACGAATGTATACAACTCATCATTCCGGCCCGACAGAGGCACGATGCCATAGCGTTATGTTGAGAGAAAAACAGTGCCATATTGAAACAAAAAAAATTAAAGGGTATAATGAAAGAGCAACTACTTATGCATGCTTTGTCTCGAATTGCCGTTACAAAATTCTCCCCCAAATCAAATTTATCATGAAGACAAATAAGCAATATTACAGACGACGGGCACGAAGAGGCAGAAAGCTCAAAAGGATCGGGGATACATAGAAAGTCGGTTATTGACGACAAAAGCAATAGACTCATCGTATACGGGGTAAAAAAAAAAAAACACAGAAAAAAGAATCGCAAAAAGCATTTTCACCTTTTTGCAAGATTTCCGAAGCAGGTCTTCCGCCGTGTATGTACTCACTCAGCCCTGTGCACCACGTATGTTACACATCAGTCATATTTTGCATCGCCACGTATTGCACGAATGATAGTTCAAATCTCACATTTAGCAAACTAAGTCCTTCGTCCGCTTTGTCGTATCTTAACCATGCTAGCCCTATACAGTTTGTGTTCTGCCCATCACGTCGACTTCACACAACAAAGCACTGCTTAATCAATTGATTCGAATAGCACATATCAAAACACAGACTGCAAGTTTTTAGCTCTCAAAGAGAAAAACCAAGTACTCAAGTCGTTGTTACCAATGACAAACGTTGGACCCAGTTTCCAACAGGCGCAGCTCCCCGAGTAATAATTTGGTACTACCTAAAAAAAACACAAAACAAGATTAACCATAGTCTGAATATGCAAAAACGGGAAAAGATCGAACCTCGAAGGGGGGGAGGGGAAGGGGGGGGAAGGAAAAAACCAACACACAGCACACTTCTACGACCACTTGCCGATCATAAGACCGCTTGCTTCTCCCTTGTCAACCTCCATCTGCATCTCAATTGGAGCACTTCCCATTGCGCATTCAACATGTCATCCGACTTTTCTCGTTCTTCGGAAAGCATCAAGCAGACGTTCAATTGTAAGCAGAACAGAGAGAGAGAGAGAGAGAGAGAGAGAGAGAGAGAGAGAGAGAGAGAGAGAGAGAGAGAGAGAGAGAAAGAGGGAGAGAGGCAGAAAGTTGAACAGGATCAGACAAATAGAAGCAGTTGGTTATCGACGGCAAAAGCAGAAGACTCATCGTATATAAGGTCAAAAAAAAAAAAAAAAAAGGACGAATCGCAGAAGTTAAGCATTTTCACCTTTCGGCGAAATTTCCGGAGCATGTCTTCCGCCGTATGTGTACTGATAAAGTCATGTGCACCACCCACGTTACGCATCAACCACGTTTTACATCGCCACCCATTGGACGAGTGAATGGTTCGAATCTTAAATTTGGCAAACTAAGTCCCTTGGCCGCTTTGTCATATCTTAACCACGCCAGCCCTATACACCTTGTATCCTTCTCATCACATCAATTTCACACAACAAAGCACTGTTTAATTGATTGATTCAAACAGGACATTCGAAACCATAGACTAAAAGTTTTTAGGTCTTAAAGAGAATAACTGAATACTCAAGTACTTGTTACTGAAAAAACAACAAAAAACAAGATCAACCACAGTCCCAATATGCAACAACGGGAAAAAATCAAACTTGGAAAGGGGAGGAGTGGGCTGGACAAAAAGACCAACACATAGCACATTTCTACGAACACTTCATAATCATAAGACCACTCGCTTCTCTTTTCTCAACTTCCATCCCCATCTCAATTGGTGCACTCCCCATTGCGCATTCGACATATCGTCTGACATTTCTCATCCACCGGAAATCATCAACGACATATTTAGTTGCAATCAGAACAGAGAGTTGAGAGAAAGAGAGAGAGACAGAGAAAGAGACACAGAAAGAGAGAGAGAAAGATAGAAGAGAAAGAGAGTAAGCGAGAAAAAGATAGAGAAAGACACAGAAGGAGAGAAGCCATTCTCCTCTCTCTCTCTCTCTCTCTCTCTCTCTCTCTCTCTCTCTCTCTCTCTCTCTCTCTCTCTCTCTCTCTCTCTCTTTTTTCTTCGTCTATCTTCCATCTAACCTTTATGTACACTTAGTTCTTTCTAACTTATCTTACTCTTGTCATTCCTCATCTTCCTTCCTTTCTCCTCCCCTCTGCTTTGTTTTCTTTGTCCGTCCCGTTATGTTTAACTCTTGTCATTATTGTTGAAAAGCCTAATAATGAGAAACATGGACAGTAAAGATTAATTGACTGGTTTGTTTAGTCCATCATTGAACAGCTCATGTGATATGTGCGTTCCATTAGGGTAGGTGATCTGTCCAATGAACACTTTCGGTTGTGCATTTTCTTTATTTACCATTTTGGGTTGTTAAGTTTGACGTGTCTTACTGCAATTCGACGTTTTGTGAACCGTAATCATAAGGTTTTATAAGTAAGGATCTGGTTAGCCTTGACAATTTGGGTTCAGGAAATGGCAAGATAACGCCCGCGGATGTTGGCCTTTAATGGCCCAAGGGATACTTTGTCGTGGATTAATTTGATGTTGTGGTTTGAGTATGGGGTTTACATGGTTGTGGGCAGAATGTAGTTAGTTTCCTGTGTTCAAGGTTGACAGCTATCGCCTTCGGTCGAATAAAACGTCAAGCAATAATAGTCATATATAGAGTGTCATTTGCGCCGAATGCAGGTATAATGCTCGGCCGGTTTGCCCGGATGAAGGCGGTGGTATACATTGATGAAAGAGGGATCGATTTATTCAACGGAGCTATTGATGCAGATTTATGGTGGCCTCTAAAGCTTAGTATGCTTTGATTTTATGGCTTTGTTTTGAGAGGTTTGATATCGTAATGATAATATGGTCATCATCTTGCTGGCACACAACCGATGATGCTCATAAATAAGTAAGTTAACTTAAACTATTGAGATCTTTGCTTTTGTATGATGGGTATATTATGCTTTATGTTATGTAGAGCAACGTTGGTTTCTGTGGAGATTTTTCGTACAACAGGTTGGGGGAATAATCTGGAGGTGACATTATGTCAGGGTCGTGCTCTGCCTGAACAAAAAAAAAGTGTGAATGCTTGTGGCAGCGTTGCAGTTAGAGCGGACTAGCTATGATAACCCTGTTTAGACTTGTGGTCTGTATGAGCAGTGTCCTTGGCAGATATGGGTGTGAGCGTGAGTGTGAGCGGGTTGAGTTCTCTGTAGTATGTAGGAGCATGTTTGCTTTTCACACTGCTGCCATTTAATGCAGGGTAGAGGGACTGTGAAAAGGACGGCACTACTATTGGCAAACTGTCCAGTTTGGCATTTTTTGCTTTATTTGGACGTGCACCGGTTGGTCGGCCCCATTTTTGGCTATCCTCGCAATTTTAAACCCCCTACAGGCCTACACTGATAGACGGATCTTGTAGCTTATAGTCGGGTCAGAAGAGGGACTGTGAAAAGGAAGGCACTGATATTGGCAAACTGTCCAGTTTGGCAGTTTTTGCTTTATTCGGACGTGCACCGGCCCCATTTTTGGCTATCCTCGCAATTTTATGCCCCCTACAGGCCTACACTGATAGACGAATCCTGTAGCCTATAGTCGGGTCAAAACAGCCCCTACAAGCGGAAACTGAAACAGTGTCGCTTGATCCAGCCCGAGTCTAGGTCTACGCTACAACTACTCATAGGATTTGGTCCGTCTAGTTGGGGCTTTTCGGATCTTTACTTTGGGATTTCGTTTCGGTAGAGATATGAGCAGAGCCTGTGAACAAAGCCAATGCAAGATTGACAAGGAACTCTACATGGGCTAATTTTGCACAATTCTGCACAGATTCTAAAAAATCGTCGGCCGAGCAATTTCGCCCGAAGAGGGGTTTGGTTGATAGCCTGTATCTGCCTGATTAAGAATTTATCTATGAATAAATGACATCTAGGTTTAGGCACATGAGATCTGATATGTTGCAGGCGTACATGTTGCGGTGGAAAAGTGGTTATGTCGAGGGGGGGGGGAAACTGCATTTTTCCACGTTTGTTTTGTTGTTTTTTGTTTTTACGCTTTGCAAAACGGTCAGTTCTTGCAATTGTCCTTCATGGCTTTTTCACAAAGAGATTGGTGAAGAATCATGGGCACATTGTGGCTAAGAAATGAACATACGGTCATCTTGGCGCCCGGTCTAGATTAGATACAAATTGGGCCGCTGTAAAATAAGGACAGAGGATGAGTACAAGAAGTGGTCAAAGTGCATGAGGTCATTTCAGCGTAGAGTCTATATTAAATAAAAATTTGGCTGCCATGGAGTGAAGAAAGAGCATGACTCGTATATATATCGTGTAACCGCGTGTATTCATTGTCTTCATTTTTTGCCTTGCAGATCCATGGGTGCCCGACGGGTCATACACAGCACTGCGTGTGCTCTTGAAACCTATATGATAAATCTGGTTACATCACACTGTAATGTTGTTGAATCTGGCATTGCAGTTGCCCCTCATGTCGAACAAACTTAAAGTAGATCTGTACTCTTTGTCTACCTCGTCGATGATAACTTGCCCTCCATTGTGCATGATGTTCATGAAATTCTCACCAATGGCCATGTTGATATCGTTAATGCCATTGTCCCCTATCTGCGGAGAGCGGTTGTGTATAATTTTCATCCGCGTCATGCAGTTCCAAGCATTGGTGACCGCATCACTCTTTACTGGAAGCGTCATCACGAGTATTCCGCTTCGTTACGGTGTAATTGTTTTACTACAGATAATCATCATATGTACACAAGTTCGGTGCGGACTCGTCGATCAATTTAAAGTTTCGTTATCATACACAGGGGTGAGAACAACGGTCCAATTGACAGGTTCATTTCTTACATATTGTCGATGCTTTGTATGCATGCTCTCCATTAAAATGATGGTTTGTTCTATTCTTGCATTTGTGTTTAAACCTAAAACGAAGTACTTCAGGTCATATACTCTTTTATGTTTTACAACCTCGGATGTTTAAATATTGGTATGTCGTCCTTGGCGATGTGCGTCTCGTCAGCATCAACAAATTTGTGCTTTGCACATGCTTAACCCTGATGCTTCATAGAATGATAATGGACACATATGCTCTGTAGATATTTGTCGTGGCTTTTGTCTATATATTTCTTTGCTACATGTCTAACCTGAAATTGTTGATTTGGTCTACATTTCATTTTGCTTCGACAGTTGCAAATTGTTGTTCATATTTGGTGTTCATAGACAAACACTCAGAAAAAATAAATGGTGACATTCTTGTTCATGGTTCTGTATATGCATTTGCAGACAACATGGCCGATGCTGGGGATGTACGAATTTGTCCTCGTTTGCTTGAGCAATTGCGTATTTCGACTTAAAAGGAAGCCCGCATTCCACGACTGATGCATGTATCCACAACAGAACTGCTCGACTACATCGATGACGAGGACAAAGATCCAAAGGCAAATGTGGCACGAAGAGGACTTCTTGTTCAGCTTGTGACACGATATCGTGATGGGAAAACCATGATGGACATGTACTTGGCAAATCTCGATGAGTCGGAGGCCGTTGAAGATGTGCATGCAACTTTGACCACAATCCACCGAGATACGCGTAAAGATTTGTTGTTGTTGCTCCGAAAAGCAACTGTGTATGATTACAGAGATCTATATGTTCCTCTGCGAATCAGTGACGTGATCTCTTTTGGGCGGACAACTGCTTATAAAATGTTTGGCATTCCGGAGATTGCATGCTTTAACACCAACCTGCGAAACATGAGCCCGCAGCCCCGCTTGGCGGCTCCACCTACAGACGCCCCTGTTGATGCCACTGCGTCAAAGGCAGTATTACCTGCAATGCACACAACGCACAATGCTCAGAATGTTGGCCTGCAATCTCTGACAAAGCCAAAACTGGAATCGGCGACTGCAGCTGGAGAATCTGGCCTGGTGCCTTTGTCGATCCCTAAATTGAACTCGCAGCCAATGAACATCGAGGCTATGCAGACCGCGGGTACAAGGTCCGGGTCGATGCCTTTGTTAACCCTTGAGGCAAAACCGGGATTGTTGAACGTGGCAACAGAGATAACAACACATTCAGAGTGTATGAATATGGCGACACCTGTTGTATCTGAAGTGCGAGAAAAGCCAAGCCATAAGATTATGAAAATGGTGCCATCAGAGCAGACTCCTAAAACGTCGGGCTTGGAGATGTGTAATGAGGCCAAACAAACTGAGCCTATGGTGTCTTTAGAGAATGGGAAGGCCACGACGAAGATGGCGGAAAAATGTGGCGGCACGTCTGCGTTGGGAATAAAACGGGCGTTTCAGGATACAATTTCCGGAAACGTAAGTGATGGTGCATTGAAGTTGGCACAGAAGAAAACTAGAAAGGGGCAATAGAGAGTAGATGACTACTGCAGTTTTAACATGTTTCTCATTTCTGAACTACCATCCACAGATAGAAGACAATGGCTTGTCGCAGATCTGTGGAAGCGGATCTTGTATATATATAGGCTATGTTAGATTTGATGTGTATACTGTCTTTCGTTGTTGTTAATCTATCAGTTGAGACACTATTGAAAAATCAATGAGCAGGACATTTTTCTGTAGGGAAGCAGTGAAACATAGACACATGAGTGTCTTACATACAGAGAATGGATAGGTGTGTTTTTGAAGACCGTGCTTATGCAATATGCTGTAAATTGTGTGTATGCTAGTTCATCATAGCTTTCATGCGATTAAAACAATGACACTGAGCTGAAGTTTGGTTAGTCTACGAACCGGTTCTAGTATATGTTTGTGGTGCTTCATCATGTATATAGACCTTACATTTACTCTACACATATTCTGCTATATGAGTGCTGGCAACCGTATTCGGTTTCCGTTTTAGGTTAGGACTACTCATGATACATGATTGTTGTACATGCAATTCAGATGTTTTTCGTTGTTGAGATTATCATTCAGAATCTTCCAACATGATACAGCTAGAAGTGAACAACGGCTGGTTATTCAGATAGAATACATTGCCTTCTTGCACATCTGCAGAGGCGGGTTGTGTATGTATATAGGTGCCCTATGTTAGATAGTTCGGTTAGAATGTAGATAAATTGAGTATACGTTAGTTGATTGTGATTTTTGGTGTATGTTGTATATGTAGATGCTTTGTCTTCTTTTTTAATTACGAAAATTTGATGCATATGCACCGCTAAGGATTTAAATTGTCTTCCATATTTGACGTACAAGTCTTTGTCGGCTGATTAGATACAACGCACTATTTCAAATCTGGTTCATGAGATGCTACTTGAGGCCCCGGTAGGGGTGTTCGTTGGCCAATCAAATACAAATCAATGTTGTGAACTTGTGATGATATTTTGTGGACCAGATTCTGGGAAGACAAATTGATGTCTAAAATAACTAACGCGCACATAGATCCGATTCAGATTTCAACACGCTTATATCAACCATGAGTGTTCGCATGTTTCTATTATTCACAATGTTTTTTTTCTATCTGTCAGTTTTGTCTCTCTTTTGGTCCTGTTGCTTTTTAGGTTTGAATATAACAATAATTGGTTGCACATTGTTTTGGTGGACCAAGTTGTATACAGTTAACTTTATTCTCATTATGAATGAGACAATTACATAAAATAAATGTGTATGTATCGTTCTTCGGATTAAACATGTTTACAAAATGTTTTTTTTTCCTCATGAGTCGCGGCATTGTATATACACAGATCAGACATTCAACTTACTATACACTCATTTTTTGTATCGGTGTATGAGTATCTTTGTCAGACTTCTTTCATGCGGTCGTGTTTGTAAGCGTCAGCATGTTTTCTTTGAAGAATAAAGAGTAAAGAACAAATGTCAAAGTTGAGGTGCGTTACATGTTGCCAACTTATTACATGTAGTTTGTTTTTGCCCGGTGTACCAAGTTAATATTCTTCTGCCAACTTTTGATCGTCTCTGTATCTTTGTTCGCATTTTTTTTAAATTGCCACATAGACCTGTTGCACTATCGGTTTATCCATGTTACACTTTGTAATCATGTACATGTTTGTTTGTTTGAAAGAGTAAAGAAATGGCAAAGTTGAGGGGCGTTATATTTTTCCGACTCATTACGAGAATGCTCAAGGCCTGGCTCCGTATTACACTTCATTGTCTTTTCTAGACTACGTTGTTTTTTTGCCCGTGTTTTGCTATACATTTGTCTCAGATAGATTCATAATTTCATGAAAAGCTTATCTGCATATCATGACTACACACAACAAGCATCGGCTAAGAGAACCTCTTCACTGCCGAATGTATGCTGTTTCGATGGTTGGCCTTACCACATGCCGAAATTGTCAGATTCGGACCAACCCGGGGCCATAACAAAAATGGAAAAAACGGGATCCGACCAATTACGTATATATGTTTCTCCATGTGCATATGTGATCACTATTACAACCCTGTTATAGAACACAACTTCAGTTGCATCCGTTTGCTTATTACGTAAATGCACCGATTGCCTCTTCATAACGTTCCCCCCCAACAATATTTAGCAGAGACTAGTGATGTTCGTAGGCGGAGAAAATCAGAGAGAACGCACAATGCAGTCCTGATGCCGATGCTACCACGTCGGTCCTGGCCGGTACCGCCTGCCTGCTGTTGTACCAGATGCCACATCTGTTCCTCGCTGCGACTCCCATATGTTCCATGATTGAACAAGGTTTTGGTTGTCGCGGGGTTCACCATGATGTTTTTTTTTCCCCCTTTTACTTTTTTCCTTCTATTTTTCTAAAGAAGATAATGATAATGAAAAAAACCTCAAAGACCATCCTGCTCCGATTCCACAGGTGAGAATTAGGCTTCTAAAAAAACGAGAAAAAAATAAATAAAAAAACAAAAGGCGTCGGCGTAGTATGAAAATGGGTCTCATGAGGTCCTGAGTTCAATCCGCATTGGCCTCATGTACCTTCCCAGACAAACATGGTGTCAACCTTATGAAGTCTCCGGTTCAATCCCCGTTGTGGTCATCTACCTTCCTGAGCAAGTTTTGTGTCTGCTTCCTGCAGATAGACCATTCGTTCTCCAGGTTGGCATTGAGCTTTTTGATCTTGCCCGCTATCGCCTACTTGCTGCTATAGCAGGTGCCGCATCTGCTGGTCGCTGGAACTCCCCAAAAATTTACAAGTAAGAACTAGCCTTAAAAAAAAAACAAAAAAAGTGGGGAAGGGAATGGGTTCTCTCCCACCAATCATCCCTGCAGGCCGTTGTGAAAATTTAAAAAAAAAAAAAAAAAAAAAAAAAAAAAAAAAAAAAAAAAAAAAAAAAAAAAACGGAAAAGATGGGCGTCATGAGGTCTTTCGTTTAATCTCCATTAGCCTCATGTACCTTCCCAGACAAGCATGATGCCCACGTTATGAAGTCTTCGGTTCAATCCCCGTTGGGCTCATCTACCTTGTTGGGCAATCTTTGTACCTGCTTCCTCGAGATAGGCCATTGGTCCTCCCGGTCGGCGTTGAGCTTTTGAGACTGCAGATGTTTGTAAGAGAACGGGACCGCAAGAGAAGAGGCGCAGTGACTGGCCCATCGAAGACACTCCACCCTTATGCTACTTGTTGGCTGCTACCAGTGGCCCCTGTAGTGTCGAACTGTTGGGACCCACATACTGTGATGTCGCTGCTCCCGCTGGGGAACACATGTTCTTATGTCAAGTTCGGACAGACCATACGTGTACAAGTTGAAGCACAGCTACACCTACTTGCAGAAGTTTACTCTCCATTTGCGGGTCGTTTCTACGTGGGCACAATGCTGGCCATTATATGGTCCCATCGGATGACGAGAACCAATGCATGCTAAAAAACCGACTGTGAGACCCCCCTACTCAAACTTTTTGTTTTTTTTCCTTTTTTTACATAAAGCTACACTGTATTATTCTCCGAAATTCCTTGCGCCTTTCACTACCCAATACTTGTAAAACTATGTAAAGGAGACAAGTAATACAGATTTAGCCCCTGACGTTCCTTATGATCATCTGGGCCATCAGGACGCTCTACACAATTGTTTGCGGGTGGACCGCTGCTGCCGCTGTTTCTTCTCAGATTCCTGTGTGGCGGTTTTCAACATAGCGCTAGCTTATCATAGCTGCTTCGCATTAACTGTGGCACTTTCACAGCCATTCACACTTTTCTTTCATACACAATTCTCCAATTTATTCATGGGGAGCAGCACATGTTGAGAACTGGGTCCGGCATCCCTTCAGAAAACTTATTACGAAACGTATACGTCTATTCAACGAATCCACCCATTGCCTATTGATAAATCGTTTTCCCAACAATGTTTCACACGGTCTTGATGCTGGTCCTACCACATGGACCCTCGCTGGTATCGCCCACTTGCTGCTGTGACAAGTGTCGCGCCTACTGGTCACAGCAACTGCCACGTGTTCCCTAATTGAGCAGGATTCTCACTTCTGCAGTGTTCCCCATGGTGCTATTTCATTCCCCTTTTTCCTTTTTTTTTGTTGTTTTTCTACCGACGATAATGATGATAAAAAAGGCTTCAAAAGTCGTCCGGTCTAAATTTGACAGATACGAATTGACCTTCAAATACAAAGAGAGAACAACAAAGAAAAAAATATATATGTCCCTTTTTTTTTTGTTTCTATTTTTCTAACAATGATGATGATAATGAAAAAGGTCTTAAAAGTCGTCCTGTCCAAATTTGTTAGATGCAAATTATCCTTCGTATAAAAAGGGAAAAAAAAGGGAAAAAAAAAGGGTCACCCAAGCGGCATGAGTTCTTTGGTTTAATCCCCATTGGCGTCATGCACCTTGTTGGGCAAGCACAATGCCCCCCTTTTGAAGTCGTAGCTTCAATCCCCGTTGGACTCATCTACCTTGCTGGGCGAGCTTTGTGCCTGCTTCCTCAAGATAACCCTTTTGACCTCCCGACCGGCATTGAGCTTTTGAGACTTCAGATGCTTGTAAGGAAAGAGGACCGCAGGAGAAGAAGGGCCCTGATTGACCCATCAAACAAGCTTCACCCTGATGCTATTTATCAAAGTACACTGTATTCTTGTCCACAATTCCTTCTGTGTTTCACACTTTTTTTTTGTATACAATGCTCCGATTTGCTCATGGGAAACAACACATGTTGAGAACCGGGCCCGACGTCCCATCAAAAAACATATCAAGAAACGTATGCAGGACGATTAAGATAAATGGGGACTACGCAAAACAAATGTCTATGTATGTGACTTATGAGTAAACATGTTTACAAAATGTTTTGTTGATGTCACGAATTGTGGCGTTATATATACAGAGGAAAGACATCTGACTTACTATACGCTCATTTTGCGCATCGGTGTATGAGTCATTCCGCCGGGCTTCCCGTTTGTGACCGTCGACCTGTTTGCTTTGAAGACTAAAGAAGAAGTATCGAAGTTGAGGTGCGTCCCATGTTGTCGACTCATTATATGTCTCCCATTTTTGCCCACTACGTTCGTTTTTCTTTAAACCTGCTGCATGGGCTTTCTATTTATGTACATGTATGCTAAACCCGTTGGCAGAAGAATGTTTGCAGCAACCTGTTGACTGCCGGATGTCTGCTATTTCGATG